ATTATTATTATTATTATTATTAATATTGATAATATTATTTTAAAATTATAATGATTATTATTAATTTATAGATTTTATAGATTTATTTTTATTATCATTATTATTATTACTATTATTATTATTATTATTATTATTATTATTATTATTATTATTAATATTGATAATATTATTTTAAAATTATAATGATTATTATTAATTTATAGATTTTATAGATTTATTTTTATTATTATTAACATTGTAATAGTAATTATAATTATTATCTCAAAAATAAGCGAATTTCAGAAACATTCTGCTAATCGTCGATATAATGTTTAGGAAATTATTTAATAACATCGCATTTCCTCGATAAGCATGATTCCGAAAAAATATGTCGTCGCAAAATTTGATCTCTTAAAAATTTCTGAATGACAAAAATAAATTAATAATTAACAAGTGAAATTAATTTTTAACGAAGAAATTGTTCAGCGAAATTATTAAAATGAAAGTAGGTAAAAGGTCAGAATAGGATTAGTTCGTTGTAAATTGTCGTTATTGTCAATCAGTGTTATGTAATATTTAATTAAACGAACGATCAACGATTTTCATTCAAACGTGTTAGATTATGTAACGCAAACAAACAATTACGTTTTAATTGTCATCAATTTTAATTGCATGATCTGCCTAAAATCATTGATTAATGATAAATACGTTTATGGTTGCATTCATTGAGTTAGATTGAAAAATTAATGAAAATGATCTCAGTTACATCCAAATATGTGTTTATCTACGATAAATCTCGTCAATGCTAATTATTATTGATTATTATTTATTCATTTAAATATTAAAATAATACTATGGAGAATAGTATTTTTTAATGAGTTTCATTTGAAATAAAATTATTTTTAAATTTTACGTGTCTACGATAAAGTTAGTCAATGATTGGATCTACAATTAAGACGAAATAATGAATCAATGATTAAGAAGATCATTGACTATTCACACCGTAGATACATTTTTTTTAAATTATATAAAATTACACATTATTGAATCTCTATGCATGGATAATGCAAATCATTGACGAAATACTCGATAGATACCATGCATTGACAAATTCTATCGTAGAATCATTTTTCATATTATTTTTTCTAATCATTTTTATTAATTTTTATTGTCACAATTAATTAAAAAACATAAACTAAATGGAATCGTTAATTCAATTAAATATTATTTAACATTGTCGTAAATAAGAAGAAAGAAGATAAAAATGAAAAATTGTATCCGTTAGTCCACGAAGCCAAAGCGACGAAAAGAAAAGTGAAAATAATATTTAATTTAAGACGCGATTTTTTTAGCACAGTGTTTAGAAAAAAGAAAACGGGAGATTAAAGAGAAAGAGAAAGAGAAAGAGAAAGAGAAAGAGAGAGAGAGAGAGAAAGAGAAAGAGAAAGAGAAAAGAAAATTGAAGAATTTAGAGAAAGTAGAATGGGGAAAGAATGATAGGAAAAAGAAAGACAATTTTAACGGAAAAACTGTGTACAAATTTCCACTAGTTAGTATAATAATAATAATAATAATAATAATAATAATAATAATAATAATAATACGTTTGTAAAGATGAGAACAACTCTGGTTTTCCGTGATTTATATACATAGGGGCGTATACATATTATACATATTATACATATTAATATGAATAATCGAACTTTTAGGGATTCGTCGTTAATGAGAGAAAGAGAGAGAGAGACAAACACGTGAATATAAAAAAAAGAAAATGCGTTTAATAAAGAAATAAAACGTGATTCTCGATAAGAGAAAAAGTAAGAAAAGAAAGGAAGAAAGAAAGAAACGAAATAAACAATGCGATTTTGTTAAAATCGCGTTTAATCGAACTCGCTCATTAGTTAGGTTTCATAGTTATCGCAGTCGTAAAAAAATAAGAAACAAAATAATAAAAATAAAACAATAACACATATACAAACAGATATGATGCAAAACCCCCATCCTCGTTTAGAAAATTTTCAAAAAATACGTGTAAAACAATTACGTTTAAATACTTAAACGTTTATTCACATATACACATACACACAAATGCGTACATTTACATTTACATATACATATATGCAGGATGAATTTAACGTGTGCACGTATACGAGAGAAGAGAATTTTTGTATGTGTGGGCAAGGATTAAATATATCTATAAATATATACATGAAATAGAAAATCTGTTCGTTTGTACGAGAAATTAAAAAATTAAATGGTACGATTGAATCTATTGTGTCAGATCTAAACGATTGTGAATGGAGGAGGAAGGGGTTTGGGGGTTTGAGGAGGGTTGGGGTGCTTTTAATTCGTTTTTTCCACGTAAGTTTCAACGAATACATGTTATCTACATATCTCTGTCTCCTCTGTCTCCTTTTTCTCTTTCACCGTAGACGATAATCGAAGTTATTTAATTGATTAAGCATAATTAATTACATTGATCGAACTACTTAAGAATGATGACTATATTATAACTTTGTCTATCTATACATACTGTATAAAAAAAACGAAACAAAAATATGAAACATATATAATACACGCCGTACAAACACACATACATACACCCACAAACTTCTTACACACACACATCCTGTAACTTCATTATATAATTACTATTAAAATATTACAGTTCAACCTCGAATTCTAATCTCAATTATGACGACGAATTTATTCAGTTTTCTTCTACATTTTATTTCACCTTCGTTTGTATTCATGTTTTTAATTCTTTTCCTCTTTTTTTTTTTTTTTTGTTCAAATTAATTTCTTATTTCATCACTGGGTAGGGAAAGTTAGAATGCTGTTTTATGATTTTTTTTTTNTTTTTTTTTTAATAAATTTTTATTTAGATGTAATGTATAATTTATATTAGAGTGAGAAATAATTAATCATATTTTATTAGGGGAAAGAAAAAAAAAGATAGTTTAGCTTATTTATTACTTATTGTCTGAATTACAATTTTAATTTTATTTATATTTATTCGAAACTTATTTAGAAAGATCGATATTACCAACTCAGTGTCGATAATATAGGAAATAAGTAATTCTTTTATCATGGAAATAGAATTCATGAAATTTTTTCTTCCTAGATGATAGTTAACGTTGTTTATAAACTTATTTTGATAAAAAAAAAAAAAACACGAATAGAATTGAATACGATAGGAGTGTAAAGTATTATTACGTTAATTATATTAATAAACATATATTTATTCATTTTAATTTGATGAAACTTCGAAAAATATACAACTATTTTACAGAGATATTCCCTTTACCGACGATTGTACAAGGTAATGTAAAAAGCAGTTTTCTACATTATCATAAGCCTTTTAGTTTACAAAATGTTTGCTAGGGTACATTACATGGCATTTAAAAAGTGATTTCAATTAAAAAAAGCCCGCACAATATTAAACAATTTTTAATTTAATTAATATTTATCTTTTTATTTATTATAATGTTAATTAAATTACAGGATTTTATTAGTTATTAATTTTGAATAATGATTAACAAAAGGTTTTCTATCTACAAAATGAATTTTTGTCTTTATTATTATTTAAGAAAGTAAATTAAAAAAAAAGAGAGTGTTAAAGTAAATTTAAAATTATAGACAATATTTTGTCCTTATACTGCTGTCTAATATTTAACAATTCGTATGTAGAGTTTTAAATATAAATGGCAAATGATCTATATTTTCCTTTACATTTGTCAGATCAATGAACGTTGAACTTTGCCTTTATATATTACATACGCGTATTCGTGCTCGTTGAAATCGATTCTCGACACCCACTCGGTTTCATTCAAAACTTGTGGCTCTTGCTTACATACAACACAACACAAATAATACGTATGTGAATATATATATATACATTGGTTCGTGGTAATAGTTTCTTTCTTATTTTAATGTTAAAAGTTAAAAAACAGTTTGATTCTCTCTCATGTTTTTTACTCCAACACTTTTTTACCAAATGATTGAAAATTATTTTACTGTTGATAATCAATTTTAAATCTACATAAATTTATGCAATTTTGAAGTAATCTTATCGGGAAAATACGAAGTTACTTTATACCCAACCCGATATATCAACGATGTTGAACATTTATAAGTAAACAGATAGATCATATCTAACTATCCTTCCTCGACATTCTTCCTACGATTCTTTTTCTTGTCTGTTTTTTCTTCTTTTTTTTCACGCAGCCACACTTGTATCTTGTAAATTCTCATGCTACTATTTCAAAACTTCGTTTTTCTCGATCGATTCGAAATACTATTTATTATCATTTTGACGTCTGATTGGTGTATGAAGAAGGTTGCTATTCGTTCAAATTTAATATTATTCGATCGAATTTAGATCGATATATATAT